GAGAACTCGGCCAGGGTGAGAGGCAGCTCTAGTTGGTCTCGGTCGCCCACGCTGACCGTGGGGAGTTCCTCCCAGAGCACCCTGCAAGCGCCAGAATCGGTCGGATCCGGGGAGAAAAGGCTTGTGTAGAAGTCACGGGCCCTCCCACACATCTCCTCCGGATCCGTGAGGGGGGTGCCGTCTTCCGCAAGAAGGCAGGTGACGTGTTTCTTGGCCCTCCTCGTTTTCTCCAGGGGATAGAAGAAGCGGGAGCCGCGGTCCATCTCCCGAAGGAGACGGATGCGGGACCGAACAAAGGCACCTTGGGCCTGGTGGTCCTCAGGGCCCGGAGCTCCTCCCGCTTCTCCCGGCAAGCTCCTCAGAGGGACGGGTCCTCGGGGTTGGCGGCCAGGCACCTCTCCATCTCTAAGACCTCCCGTTCCAACTGCTCTATCGCCGCATTTTGCCGTCGGCTGGTGCCCCGAGTGTAGTCACGGCAGAAGAGCTTGGCACGCACCTTCCCGAGATCCCACCATCGCCGCACCGAGGGAAAGGCACGCCACTGCTCTCGCCAAGCCAGCCAAAGCTCCCGGAAGGACGTCACGAAGCTCTCGTCCTCCAACAGGCTGTTATTAAAGTGCCAATAGGCCGGCCCCGGTCTCTCTGCACAGAGGGAGACCGTTACGGTGACTAAATGATGATCGGAGAATGGGGCCAGCCGAATGGCGGAGGAGTGGGCCTGTGAAAGATGGAAACGGGATAAGTAAATACGGTCCAACCGAGAGTGGTGTGACCGATGGTTCTCCACCCGAACAAAGGTGAACGTGGAAGTGTCATCTGGGTGATGGTCACGCCAGACGTCCACTAGGGAGTGATGTTCAACTATCCCTCAGAGAATATTCGCGGCGGCCGGGCTCGGCTCGGCCCCTGAGCGGTCCCGTTCCTCGAGGGTGGTGTTAAAGTCCCCTCCCAGGACCAGGCACTCGTGCGAATCCAGGGTGCCGAGAAAGTCGGACACCCGCTGATAGAATTGTGGCTGCCTGGAGCTCATTTGCAGGGCATAGATGTTAACAAGATTGACCACGAGCCCCTCCATACGGACTCGAAGGTGCAGCAGATGGCCCGGCACAGCCTCAGTGACCCCTAGCACCTCGGGCCGTAGGTTGGGGGAGAACAGGGTCACCACTCCAGCTTGCCAAGTCGCAAAGTGGCTAAAGTATACCCCGTCCCCCCACTCCAGCCGCCACCTGTCCTCGGCGGCCGGGTCCGTATGGGTCTCCTGCAGGAAAACTACAGAGTACCCCCCTTCCCAAAGGTAAGAGAGCACCTGGGACCTGCGGAGAGCCATCCTACAGCCCCTGGTATTCAGGGTCGCAATAATAAGAGGCGTCATGCGGAGGGCTGGAGGGGTGGGGGTTTCTTGTTGGCGGGGGGGTTCAGGGCCCCCGGCAGGTTGCGCAGCCGGCAGTAGAAGCTGCACTTGCCGCCGGAACGAAAGGACGTGATGGAGGGTGGGGTCCTTGCAGCCCAAAGGAAGAGGGCTGATAACAGAGACAAGTTTCCCCAGAGTGGAGAGAGCGGGTAACAGGGCAACATTGGGTAAAAAGGGAGGAACGGAGGTGAGGACGAGGCGAACGCCCAGGTCTTCTAGCGGCTCTAGGGGGATGAACACCCCCAGCCCCACAGCCAGGCCCCTCTCCACCGCCTCCTGGGCGGCAGCCTCCGAAGCTAAGAAAAAAAATGACCTTCCCATACATCTTGGAGGCCGCCACAATAGCCGTGGGTCCTACCACCTTCGCCAACACCTGCACGTATGTGTCCACGTGGGGCGAGGCGGACACCAGGAGGCAACGGACACCGTGCCTCCTGATCAAGGTGGAGAAAGGGCCCCGGCCGCTGGTGATGGTGGCGGAGGCGGGGGGGGGGCGAGATGACGAGGCGGCAGGCAGGGGGGAGCCCGTCACCACCCGGGAATACGTCCTGGGGGCCGGGGGAGGGACAATCGCAGAGCTGGTGGAGGGAAACGCAGGGAGGGGCGCCACGGCTGATGACGAGGCCACAGCGGTGGAGGCAGCCCCTGCCATGGAGGGCTTAGTGGTTTTAGCGAGGCCCTTTCCTTTCATCCCACCCTGGCCCTTCCAGCCAGCTGGGGGGGGGTTTCCTAGAATCTGGGAGGGGGCGGTGGGCGCAGCAGCAGCAGTGATCACCCCGGTGCCTCCTGCTGCCGGTGCCCCAGCTTTGGGGGTGGCAAGTATCTTAACAATAGTGGTGGGGAGGGACCTTGGGGGTCGGGCGGAGGGGGTGGTGGGGGAGGGACAACTGATTTTGTTGAAGCGGCCTCGCCCCTCTCATTCCCCGCGATTGTGAGCAGGGAGAGACAGGGAGACACCAGAAGGAGGAGGAGAGGAGGGGGAAGCAAAGTAACCGCTGCAGGCGGGGGGGGAATGCTGAGGGGGTTGGACTGGGGGGGGGAAATCGGGGTCCAGTAATAGGGGCTGTGGGATAAGCAATCCGGGAGGGGGTGCAGACCCACACACGTTTGTCTAAAGAGTCTCGGTTGGTCGGCTGTTATGTCCGGTCCGAAAGGCAAAGTTCAAAGCGAACAGCTGGATCCGAAGGGAGATGGCAGGTTGCCAGCAGGGATGGACGGCGGGGGGGCCGTGACAGTTGTAGTAAGGGTGGGGGAGTTAGGGGCACCGATGGATCGGGGGGGGCTCTGCACCACACCCCCTGTGCCGCCACAAACGCAAGTAAACCATAGTCAAACTCCCCCCAACGAGAGTATAATTCAGAAAATTACTCAGTCTTACGGCCCCCTTCACGATGATTTATAGCTTCCCCTAATTATATCTCCTGTCTTCTGAAATCTTCTTCTCCAGCTGTGTTGGCTGTGTTCCAAGGCTTCCGGCATGCTGAGAATGTTGTAAAGTCCGAGCTGCCAGCAAAACGGCTGGGTCTGGGGGTTTCCACTCCCCCCTCCGGACAGCAAAATCGGCAATCTTCCCCCCCTCCTCCGGGGGGCTCAGCTGAGGTAAATAGCTGCGCCCAAAAGCAGGCGTGGGGGGGGGGTGCTGGCGGCAAGCTAAGGGCCGACCAGCACGTAGACGGAAAAAAATAACAAAGAATCAAAACAAAGCAAAAAAAAGTGTCTGGCCCGGTCGGGGGGGGACTAAGGCAGGTTCAAAAAGTAAGAAAAATCCAGGCCAGGGGGCTTTAGGAAAGAATAGAAAGCAGATAGCTGAGGAGCAAGCAAAGGACGTCCCGTTTCCCAACAGGGGCGGTTCCAGAACAATCAGGAACCTTCTGGAGACAATTAAGACAGGCTGATTAGAACACCTGCAGCCAATCAAGAAGCTGCTAGAATCAAGTAAGGCAGGCTAATCAAGGCATTTGGGTTTTGAAAAGGAGCTCACTTCAGTTTGTGGTGTGGTGTGAGGAGCTGGGAACAAGAGGCACTAGGAGCTGAGAGGGAGAACGCGGACTGTTGGAGAAGTGAGGTGCACAAGCATCATCAGACACCAGGAGGAAGGTCCTATGGTGAGGATAAAGAAGGTGTTGGGAGGAGGCCATGGGGAAGTAGCCCAGGGAGTTGTAGCTGTCACACAGCTGTTCCAGGAGGCACTCTAGACAGCTGCATTCCACAGGGCCCTGGGCTGGAACCTGGAGTAGAGGGCGGGCCGGGGTCCCCCCAAATCCTCCCAACTCCTGGTCAGACACAGGAGGAGTCAACCTGGACTGTGGGTTCAGAAAAACGGCCAAGCTGAGGGCTGCCATGAAGCTCGAAGGCGAGCAAATCGGTCAATAAGCGCAAGGCCCACCAAGATAGAGCAGGAACTTTGTCACTATATATATCTATATCTATCTGTGATTGGTTCCCACCCCACACAAGGCCTTGAGGGGTTAAAGTGGCTAGGCAGGACAATTAACTTCCCAGGCTGTGCCTGAAGAATAGGACTGCCAACTTTCTACTCGCACAAAACCGAACACTCTTGCCCTGTCCCCTGCTTCCCCTTCTCTGAGGCCATGCCCCCCTTTTCTGAGGCCCTGCCTCCCACTCACTCCATCCTGTCGTTCCCCCCCACATTGTTGTTCACTTTCCCCACCTTCACTCACTCACTCACTTCTCATTTACACCAGGCTGGCTCAGGGAGCTGGGGTGTGGGTTCCAGCATGGGGACAGAAATGAGGACTTCAGAGTGCGGGAGGGGGCTCCAGGCTGAGTCAGTGGGTTGGGATGCAAGAGGGGGTGAGGGCTCCAGCTGGGGGTGCAGGATCTGGTGCCGGGCCAGGGATGAGGGATTTGAGGTGTAGGAGGGTGCTCTGGTCTGTGACCAAAGGATTCAGAGAGCAGGAGGGGGATCAGGGCTGGGGAAGGGGTGTGGGGGGGCAGAGTGAGGGCTCTGGCTGTGGGTGCGGGCTCTGGGGTGGGGCTGGTGATGAGGGGTTTGGGGTGCAGGAGTGTGCTCTTGGTTGGAACTGAGGGCTTCGGAGGGCGGGAGGGGGACCAGGGCTGGGTCAGGGGGTTGGGGCATGGGAGGGGGTCAGGGGTGCAGGCTCTGAGCCGCACCTACCTAAAGCAGCTCCCAGAAACAGCGACATGTCCCTCCTCTGGCTCCTGTGCCTAGGAGCAGCCAGGGAGCACTGCCCCCGCAGCTCCCGTTGGCCACAGTTCCCAGCCAATGTTGAGCTGTGGGGGTGGCGCTTGGGGTGGGGGCAGTGTGCAGAGTCCCCTAGCTGCCCCTACGCGTAGGAGCCAGAAAGGGGGAATCCAGATAGGTAGGAAGAAGCCCAGGGAAACTGCAGCACGGAGTAGGACCATACAGCCCTTGGATGCTTGTTAGAGGGTCGCATGGCTGGAAGCCAGTGTAGAGGCAGGCCCGGGTTCCCTATCAGCCACTGGGAAGTGGCCCAGGGTGCTGGGGATGCCAGCTGGACAGCTCGTCCACAAGGACTTTGAATTCCCTGGAAGGGGAGAACCTTCGTGGCTCAGCCCTCTGGCC